CCCAATAGGCAAACATCTGTTGGGTTGGGGAAGGAGCTCTAACTCATGGTCCTTTATGTAAAGTGTCATGAATTAGAGTAGGGCCTAAAGTCTGTCTATGCCCTACCATCCGCATGCCTGTGCTCAAAGAGTCTTAGAGAAGAGCTAATGGGCTGACATGTGTGCATATATACATGGCCCAGAGACACATGGATTCTTTGCCAATGGTCTGTATATTTGCAGATAGTCTATAAAAAACAAGGCTAAAAATGCCTGTGTGTAAAGTCCCTAAAAAATGGATCCTTTTTCATACAAAAACTAAGCAACTAGAAGTTGATGGACAGACAGAGCAGAGCAGCACTACTTGGTGCCCTGAGCAGGAGTGCAGCACCCAGCAAGCAGCCTTTAGGGTTTTGTAGTCCCCTGAATGCCCCCTTTTCCTCACCCATGCACTGCTACTGTGTCCCATCACTTGCCTGTAACACTGTTGGATCACAGGTAGGCAGGCAGTAATCCCCCTTCTATGCAGATCCATGCTGGGGTGGGAGGCAGAGCCAGTGGAGGTAAGGTTGGTGGGTGGGCTGGGGTGGTAGGGCAGCAGAGTGTGGCTGAGGGTTTGGGGCTGTGGGAATGAGTTGGGGAGCCCTGGGAAGACAGTACAGTATAAAGCCATAGCTGCAGTCAAGCAAGTTTGCCATCCCAAACGTTTCTTGTTATTGATAATCTGCAAACTTCTTACTGACATCCAAACTTTTTTACTGTGATTGGTGTTAAACCCCTCAATTTTAACCCAGCTCTTGTCCAGGCCTGGGAGAAGGGTTACATTTACATTATGCAAAGCATGTCAGTAAAAAAGTTTGGCTGCCAGTAAAAAGTTTGCAGACTGGCAGTTAAAAATGATCTTAACCCACTCCTTTTGGTCAGGGATACTTATAAAAGCTAAATCTACATCTGAAGTCAAAATGATAAACTGAATGTAAATCAAAGACAGTTATAATAATAAAGAGCTTTGGCGGTTCCAGACTGCACATAAAAGGTTAGACTGCAGACAGCTTTAGCATCTGCCAAGACATCATTGTTAGAATCAGTGTATAGCTCATGTGAAATATGGGGCACTTGACACAAATAGTTCCTGTTTTTCATTAGTAAATTATTAACTGAAGAAACAGAAATGAGGCAGCACTCTGTTCTGCATCTGCATAGGAAAATGCTTCCTCCTGCTCAGTGGATTAGCCATGAGGTGGACCAGCCTCTTGCCTCCCTTAGGAAATATCACAAGAAAGAACTTGATGTGATGTCCTGTTTATTTATGTCAACTAAAGCAAAGCATACAAGACATACTCCTATCTACCTTCCCTCCTGTCATAAAACAATGGAACAGTCATTGAACCTACCTGAGAAAGAATTAAAACTGACACGTTGGAAGCACTTTTTTCCCCACAAAACATGATTAACCTGTGAAACTGAATGCCTATGAAATGATTAGCCTTTAAAACATAAAATGCAACTGAGGCCAAGAGCTAAGCAATAGTTATAAAGGATAAGACTTTTATCTGGACAGTCAGAGCACCCAAAGTTTCATTAGTAATGACTGGGGTAGGGGGTGGAAGGGGTCTAACATAGGGTTACCATACATCTGGGTTTTCCCGAACATGTCCTCTTTTGAGTCTTCCAATCTCTGTCCAGGCAGGCTTTTGAAATCTGAACAAATGTCAGGATTTTGCTCTGCTCCGCTGGTGGGAGCTGGGAGAGGGTGACTGGAAACAGGGGTCATCACATGCGAGTGCGTGTGCACATGCATATGGCTGGCATGCAGCCAGGCAGGGTAGTGGGAGCAGCCTCAGCAGCTGGATGCAGGTAAGTCTGTGGGGAGGGGGAGTTGGAGGGCCATGGCTTGGGGACTGTCCAGGCTGCATGCATGCGTATGTGTGTGTGTGTGTGTGTGTGTGTGTGTGTGTGTGAGGCGGGGGTGTGCGGAGGGGATGAATGTGTGAGATAGGATGGATGCTTGGTGGCACTGGAGGAAGGTGTCTGGGTGCTGCTGAGGCTGAAGTAGGGCAAGGGCAGGGGGGAGGGAGGGCGCAAAGGGGGAGGGACCTCTCCTTCCAGCAGGGGAAGGGGTCAGGGGGCCTTCAAGGGCAGCGGGGAGCTCTGTGGCTGGGCTGACAGCACCGGAGCTAGTGCCTGTGCTCACAGGGGTGGGGTGACCCCCAGGAGATGCTGCCAGGGTGGGGGGAAGGCAGTGGCAGGGTTATGGCCAGGCTGCTTGGCATAGTGCTGGTGCCCCAGCCCTGGGGGGGGAAGGGACGGGGGAGCACAGGCCTCCTCTCTTCTTCTCTCCCACCTGCACCAGGGCCAGACTCACTTCACCACCACCTGCACAAATCAGAGCTACCATGCTGGGGGCCCCATCCAGCAGGGCTGGGGGAAGCAGGGGGCTGTGGGTTGCAAGTGAAGGGCACTGGCAGGGCTGGGGAAGGTGAGGGCTGTGGGTCAGGAGTGAGGGGCACCAGCATGACCTGGGAGGTGATGGATTGTGGGTCAGGAGTGAAGGGCACCAGCAGGGCTGGGGGGCTGGGGTCAGGAGCAAAGGGCAGCAGCAGGGACGGTGGGGGCTGCAGGTTAGGAGTGAGGGGCACTGGCAGAGCCAGGGGGCTGTGAGTTGGGAGTGAGGTGTCCCCATGGCAGGTGTCCTCTTTTTTGGAACTGGAAATATGGTAACTCTAACACTTGTTCTACAGGAAGACCCTGACTCATGACTTCTAATCAGCGGAGGTTCAGATGAATTTTCCCTGCAGGCATATTACTGCGTGGCTGCCCTCCCTGCAGAGTATCCTGTATCTTCTTCTGAAACATCTGGTACTAGCCACACCTGAAGATAGGTCTAGACAGACCCCTGGTCTGATCCAGTCTGGACACTGCCTTGTTCCTATAAAACCCCTTTGGAAATAGAGTCAGAAACACAGGCTCTGAATGGCCCAAAGCACAGCAAGCAGACCCCCACACAACCACCAACTTAGAGTTTGTGCAAAGAAGAAGTGAGACGAGCAAGAGGTCTCAGCCCAGTTTCTGGTTAGAGGTGCTTCCCTCATAACTCCTCCTTTATGGAAGGCCTGATTCCCCCTGTGTACAAAGGACTGAGAATTTATTCACAATGCAGTTGTATCAGTGTAGTGTGGGGATTCCCATGCTACCTTCCAGTGAGCTGGCTCAGCCGGCATGAACAGTCTAGCCACGGCAGCATGGAGTTACAAATGGGCCTTAATGAATTCTGCTCTCTACAGGGGATTATCCTGTACTGAGCTCCATGTTCCTATGGTGGGGCTATTTCCATTACCCAAGCCAACTCATTGAAAACAAACCTTGAGGCTGAGAGGGCACATGAGGCACCATTTGTAGCCTAATAAGATTGAAGGGATACCGACAAGCAGAAAATGTGCCATGGGCAGCCCACTCCTTTTCAGAGCATTTTTAAACAGATGCATGCTGCTGCTACTAACAAACTGGCATGTGTACAGCTCACTGAATGGTGAAATAAAGTCTTGGTACAGCATCTCTCAGCAATACTAGGTGCATCTACACCTGCGCTTTACTGCACAGTTGTTACTTCACAGTCATTTAGTACTTGCTTTAGCATGATGCATGCTGAACTGCTTGCCTGCATGTACTGGGAGCCACTACAGACATGCTGGGGAAGCAAACTCCCAAAACTGTATTAGTTCCCAGCCTCCATGTCCTCTCACAAATTAGTCCCTAGTAACCACATACTGAACCACTATGTGTATGGGTTATTATTGTAATCCCTGAACTGCTGGGAGCCAGGTCCCAATGCTGCTTTATCTAATCTCCAAGATCCTGGTCCCATTTGCCATTGCTAATAACTCTCTCCTGATGCATTTGTAGTCAGTAAGGTTTCTCTCCCCTGTGCTTGGAGCCGTCTTGCAAGCAGCTGGTCTAGCAGCACTGGCCTACAGACTAACCTATCTATTGACTAGTCTTTAACTCACCTTCTGTACTTGTGTTTCCAGCATGATCTGTGATTGTGTTGCATATGGACGCAAACCATCATCCAACTTAGTTACAAGACCTAATGTGGGAAATGCCAGATGGACACTGCTCTAAGGTGTCAAGAGTCTTGGGAAGTTGGCAGTCTCATAAAGGCTGCCTGCTCAGGTGTGATATCCAAAGTGGACAGGGATTGAAAGTTGCACCAGGCTGTTTTTGATAGAGGTGCACTGATACATCAGTCCCATATCAGATTGATACTGATATAAGGAAAATTGACAGTACCGGCAATCGGCCTTTTTTGGCTGATGTGGCCAGTAATGTTGTGGATAAATGCCCCGTGCATGCGCGCAGCCACAGCGCAGCACACAGGCAACCAGGAGCATAGTCTGGCAGTGTGGAGAGCAGCATCAGGCTGGTAAGTCTGGTGTGGGTGAAGTGGAGGGGGGGGGGTGTGCAGATTGAGGCCCCAGCGGTGAGGGAGGAAGTGGGGCTGGGGCCAGGGCTGCACCGGGCTCTTCCTGGCAGGGGGGTTGGGCTGGGGCTGTGCTTGGAGCAGGCAGCAGCAATGGGAGGGGAGGTTGTGGGGCTACAGTGATTTCTGGGGTGGCTGCAGCCCCTGCCATAGTCCCCCTCCCAGTACCGCCGCTGCCACCAGCCCCAAGTACAGTCCAGGACAACCCCCTACCAGGAAGAACCCAGCACCGCCCCAGACCCATCCTGCAGCGGCAGCCTGCCCTCATCCCACACAGAGATCCAGGGGTGCACACACCCATGTCCCCCTGGGGTGCATGTAGCAGCAGGAGCCGCCCCTCCCCCCACACCTCCCCCCCGCCCCCGGATGAGCTGCTTGCGACTCCATCCCACACTCTGCCCTGGCTGTGCAGCACCTGCCCCAGCCCCACTCCCTCCCTCACCTCAAGGCCCTTGACCTGCCCCCCCTCACATGCCTTCCCTCCCCCTTTCCCCCACAACAGACTTACCAGCCCAACACTGCTCTCCAAGCTGCCCAGTTGCATATCATCAAGCTGCATATCAGTATTGGCCAATATGGCTTGTTAAAAATCATCCATCAGTAATAGCCCAGAATATCTCTATTGGTGCACCCCTAGTTTTTGAAGAATCTTTTGTCATTCAAAAAAGGGCATTGAAAAGGCTGGGTCCCTTCCCTGTCTAATTTAATAGCAGGGACAGGGAACAAAGTCCACAGGGACACTGCCTGGAGAAGGTGCAAGGGAACTGGACAGGATACAGCCTTTGTTATTCTACAAATTATGCTCAGGGAAGTTCTGCCACAGCTATGTGTTTTTTGAGGTAGCACAGTAATAAGATAGAATGAGCTTGTTGTTAACAGAACCCAAGAGAATGGTTCACAAAAGCAAAGCTGGTCACATAATGCTTTCGAGAGTCTGGAAGAAAAGTTGGCTTAGAAAGAGCTCTAGCTGCTCCCTTGGGATAGTCAACAAGATCACAGATCAAGGCCAGGCTCTGCTTACTGCCAACCCCAAAATCAGCTGCAAAATATCACTGCAAAATACTGGAACTGCTCTTCCCACTCAGCTCCTGGGAGACATGCCTTTTGCATCATCTCAGAAGCCCTGAAGGCTAGGGCTTGTAACCAGAATACCACTGTACCCAACAGCAGCTCACTCACACCAGGGGGATTTCACAGATTTCACAGACATTAGGGCTGGAAGGTTCCTCGGAAGATCATCGAGTCCAGCCCCCTGCCCTAGGGGCAGGAAGTCAGCAGGGGTCACAGGATCCCAGCAAGATAAACATCCAATTTTTTCTTGAAGGCATTCAGAGTAGGTGCTTGAACCACCTCCGATGGCAGGCTATTCCAGACCTTGGGGGCTTGGACAGGAAAGAAATTCTTCCTTGCATCCAGCTTGAAAAGGTCTTGCAGGAGTTTATAACCATTCGACCTTGTCATCCCTTGGGGGGCTCTGGTGAACAATCGCTCCCCCAGATCCTGGTGAACACCCATGATAAACTTATAGGTGGCCACCAGATCGCCCCTGAGCCTGCGCTTTTCCAGGCTGAAGAGTCCCATAGCTCTTAGCCTGTCGTTGTAAGGTCTGTTTTCCTGACCTCTGATCATGCATGTGGCTCTCCTTTGCACTCTCTCAAGCTTCTCCATGTCCTTTTTGAATTGTGGGGCCCAAAACTGGACGCAGTACTCCAGCTGCAGCCTCACCAAGGCCAAGTACAATGGGAGAATGACGTCCCAGGATTTGCTTGAGAAGCAT